ACTAGGGACACCGTGGCATGGGGACACTGACAACAGAGACACCATGGCAGTGGGGACATTGTGGGGTCAGGGACACCGTGGCAACAGGGACACTGTGGGGTCAGGGACAGCGTGGGATGGGGACACCGCGACAGCAAGGACACTGTGGGAAAGGGGACACTGTGGCAGTGGGGACACCGTGGGGACAGGGACACCGCGACAGCGGAGGGGGGCAGCAGCAGCAATGGCTCCTCTGCTGCCCCGGGCTGGCCCCTCCTGGGCTTTGCTGGGGAACATCCCCGGTCCCTCCTGGGCTTTGCTGGGGAACATCCCCGGTCCCTCCTGGGCTTTGCTGGGGAACATCCCCGGTCCCTCCTGGGCTTTGCTGGGGAACATTCCCGATCCCTCCTGGGCTTTACTGGGGGACATCCCCTGTCCCTGCTGGGCTTTACTGGGGGACATCCCCTGTCCCTGCTGGGCTTTACTGGGGGACATCCCCTGTCCCTGCTGGGCTTTACTGGGGGACATCCCCGGTCCCTCCTGGGCTTTGCTGGGGAACATTCCCGATCCCTCCTGGGCTTTGCTGGGGGACATCCCCTGTCCCTGGTTGGGCTTTGATGAGGGGACATCCCCTGTCCCTCCTGGGCTTTGCTGGGGGACATCCCCTGTCCCTGGTTGGGCTTTGATGAGGGGACATCCCCTGTCCCTCCTGGGCTTTGCTCGGGGGACATCCCCTGTCCCTCCTGGGCTTTGCTCAGGGGACATCCCCTGTCCCTCCTGGGCTTTGCTGGGGGACATCCCCTGTCCCTCCTGGGCTTTGCTGGGGGGACATCCCCTGTCCCTGCTGGGCTTTGCTGGGGGACATCCCCTGTCCCTGCTGGGCTTTGCTGGGGGACATCCCCGGCCCCAGAGGCTGCCGGAGCCGGGAACACCCAGCCCGGGGCTGGCAGAGGGGACAGGCTGGGGAAGCACAGCACGGAGGAGCTCTCGGAGAGCTGGAACGGCCACCCCTGATTCCCACCCACGGCAGGGTGGGTTGGAACAGCTGCTTCCCAAAAAAACGAGGGAGGAGACCTCAGACGCCCATGCCGGTGTTCCCCCCTCCAAGGGGGCTCCACGTCGGGATGGGGCAGGCGCGGAGCCTCCGCTGCCCTTCCCTCCATCCTGCCCTCGGGAAACGCCTTGGAAAAGGCAGAGCAGCTCCACCCCCGCCAAAGCAGCGCTGAGGGTCTGGGGGGACTCATCCCACCCCCTCCAGGGGCAGCCAGCGCTGGGCTCACTCCCACCGGAGCCAGAGGGAATTTAAGGGGCCCAGGAAGTCACCAGTGCAAGTTTATAAAAGCTTTTATTTGCTCTTGGTACGACCAAGAATGGGACAGTGATCTTTTATACAATTTGATACAGTAAGTGGTACAAAAGAATGTGTTTTAAATAAAAAGCCAGAGTGGAGTAGCAAAAATATTAAAAGATTAAGTAAAAAATTGTCGGCATGGGAATTAATCCGAGACCTTGATGCTGTTTTTGTTTTTTTTTTTTCCACCGTCCGAGTCCGAGGGCACGAAGCGCCGGCGTGTGACACGGCCGTGGGACAGAGCCGAGCTCGGCTTTGGTTTAGCAGGACCAATTTCATCGTTTAACACTTTTTTGGTGACAAAGGGCAGCGCCGAGCTCCCTCCGCGGGCGGGGGCACGGAGGGGCTGCTGGCACCTCCCGCTGCCCTTCTCTACTCCCCAGGGCTGGGCCGGGCTTCCAAGCAGAGGTTTCACAAGCGGTTAGTTCGGAACTAGCAGGGAGCTGAGATGCCAGCAGACATCAGGTTACTGCAAACTCCTCCGACATGATCGTTGTTATTAATATTATTCT